TTATTAATGTTAAAAATAAGTTGTTAATCTAATTCATTATCAATAATTGAATTTAATTGATTAGACATGTTTTATTGAAATTTTAATAAACAAAACAAACAAATGGTTTCAAGTTTGTTATAGTAAAAGCATTTTTTCAACCAAAAAAACCCTGTTTTCATTCATTTAACTGTCATTTTAACTGATGATAATAATAATGATAATAACCATAATTTAATAATACAGTTTATTTAATAATTGATTAATACTGTAAACCGTGATATTTTCTGAGATGTTATCATACTGTGAAAATCTCATACCATTACAACCACCCTACATGGGAGAGTCCCCCAGCCCCGCTGTTAAAAAAGTAACTCAGTAACTTTTACTCGGAGTAAATTTTAAATGAGCTACTTTTTACTTTTACTTGAGTAGATTTTTAGACCGGTAATTTTACTTGTACTTAAGTAAAATTTCATTGAAGTAGTAGTACTTTTACTTGAGTAGAATATTTTATTACTCTTTCCACCTCTGTCTGGGACCAACTCTATGGCTTCACCACCAGTTCAAAAATTTAAATTTGAAACAGTTATAACTTTTGAACCCTTTGATCTAGAAAAATGAAACTCAGAACACCTGATTCCCCTAGACATGCTGATCACATTCAACATCTTACATTACTACGTTAACATACTAACCAGTTGCCATTCTTTCTAATGTGGCTCTTCAGCTATCATGTTAACCATAAGCTACATTAGCATGAAGTTAGCTTAGCATGCTAACTTGGTTTAAATATTAAGTAATGCTTTTGTGTGCTCATTCTCACACTGAAAGCTCTCATCGGCAGCCTGCTAAAGCAGCGTCAACTGGTGGTGCGGCCTATTATGACACCTACTCCGAATCTTTAAGGTTGTGGGTTCAAATCCAGTGTTGCACATGCCCAGACAGCAAGAGGTATGATGGTCAGAAGTGGTGCGAAAGTTGCTTCAGTTACAGATATTGTGTCTTCCTGAGAATGATCTCATCTGAACTTACTAAATACTGAAAAACTACAGAACTTCGGCATCTAGGTGAATACATCTTTCCAGTGGTGCAACGTGATGAGTGACAAGCACCTGACCAGAGATTGCGAGTTTGAGTCCCATGTGGAACAACTTTATAAAATTGTGTAATTTAGGTTCCTTTATTATCCGGGTAAGCGTTGTACTAATCTTTTTTCCTCTAATATTAGAAATAAGTGTGTTTTTGTTCATTCTGTGTTCCTTCTCACCTGAACTTCTGTTCATTTTGAGTTCATCCTTCCTGTAAATCTGAACCTTTCTATTTCTGCTGTGTTTTTGTACTTTTGGCTCTGCGTTGCGCTTCTAGCCCTTCAGGGGCTTGGACTCGTATCGCTGCATGCAGCTTTACTTTCATTTGTATCTTTATTCTATTTATTTTATTACTGACTGTTTGCTTGTCGTTTTTTTCTGGAAATTAAATGTTTGAAACCAAGCTTCCTTGTGCTGTGTAAGCTATTACAAAATTACCCAACCACAAATACATGGAGTGAGCAAACATTTTGGTGAGATAACACTTTCTACAAACACTTTCTATTTTCTGAAGATAAACAATCTTTTGCTGCACACTAGAACTATATTCTTTGGTTTTACCCATTGTGGTATATTAAGGGAATTTGGCCTTTGTGTTGCCTCATATTTATATATTCCTGTGTAACAGGAAGTCATGGCTGGACATTTTCATGTCCCTAGTCACCCTGGTGTGCTAAAAACGGGAATATACTTCAAAGATATTTTGTTCATAAGAATTTCTAGGTGTGTTAATAACTGTGACCAATGTAAATTAAACAAAAATATGTATTTCATAATGCAATTGTCCCCCCACTATCAAACATTTAAAAATCAATGAAAAGTTACATTTTTGGGATATATATATATATATAAATAAACATCAAAAGGATAAACAATGCAGATTTATTTTCACAGCCTTCTTTGGTCATATTTGCTCATAAATCCCAATAATTCTGACCAGGGGGCATATTACAGAAGCAAATCTTCTTATCCTATCTTACAAAATCTCATCTTATCTGTAGTTTGGAAATATTAAACCACTCCACCGAGTTCGGTAATCAATTCTCAGGTCTGTTACCAAGATGTGCTGCTGAGATGAAAATGGAGAAACAAAACAGGTGTGCATTTATTTAAGTCCTGCAGAAACAGAAGTTTTGATAAGCTTGGTAAAGCCTATCACTTTATTTCATGGGAGTCTGTATTTATCAGTGTTTTGTCATCAAAGCACATCATATGGGTGTTCAAAAAGTCTTTCCACCATCAAACATCACTGTTTATCATGTATCATTAATAAATGTGACGCCATTCTCCGATGGCTATTGTTATGTTATTTTTACAGTTGGCTTTTAAATAATTTTGAACTTAGGACACCAATGGGGTTGTCGTAAAGGTTAAGAAAGTTTTTCGGATTTTTGGTAACACTTTACTTGAATGGGTGTGCATAAGACTGACATGACACCTTCATAATCATGACATGACACATGTCATGAATATGAAGGAGGTTTTATGCATGTTTATGACAATTGTCATTAAGTGTCATTCGCTCAATTATGACATTTTTAATGCAAATATGACATTGTTTGAGATGTATTTATGACAACTTGACATAACCCAATACATCATAACCTGTCAGTGTCTTGGTAATGACAACTTGACACTACCGAGACAACATAAATTGTCATAAATATGTCAAACATGACATAACAGATTAATTATCAAACTTAAGAAACCACTTACCTTTATGGGTTAACATTACATTAAACAGTCGTGTGGTTGGTTTTGACATTGGCTGTCATGAGGCCATTATAAGTGTGTCATGAATATTTTTCTTGACCTCAACTACAGTGGTACAAATTGAATTTGTCTAGGTTATTCCCATTGGATATCACCCTGTAGCCCAAGACTGGTTGCCCACTGAAGCTAAGCAGGGCTGAGCCTGGTTAGTACCTGGATGGGAGACCTTCTGAGAAAACCAGGTTGCTGCTGGAAGAGGTGTTAGTGAGGCCAGCAGGGGGCGCTCACCCTGTGGTCTGTGTGGGTCCTAACGCCCCAGTATAGTGACGGGGACACTATACTGTCAAAGAGCACCGTCCTTCGGATGAGACGTTAAACCGAGGCCCTGACTCTCTGTGGTCATTAAAAATCCCATGGCACTTCTCGTAAAGAGTAGGGGTGTAACCCCGGTGTCCTGGCCACATTCCACCCATTGGCCCCTGCCAATCATGGCCTCCTAATAATCCCCATCCACTGAATTGGCTCTATCACTCTCTCTCCTCTCCAACTAGCTGGTGTGTGGTGAGCGCACTGGCGCCGTTGTACTGTGGCTGCCGTCGCATCATCCAAGTGGATGCTGCACACTGGTGCTGGCTGAGGAGAGAACCCCTGATATGATTGTAAAGCGCTTTGGGTGTACAGTAGTACATATGAAAGCGCTATATAAATGCCTCATTCATTCATTCATTCATTCATTCATTCATGACAGCTAATGTCAAAACCAACCACCTGACAGTTTAATGTAATGTTAACCCATAAAGCTAAGTGGTTTCTTAAGTTTAAGAATAATTTAATAATTAATCTGCTATGTCATGTTTATGACATATATATGACAGGTTGTGTTGTCTTAGTAATGTCAAGTTGTCATGACAAAGACACTGCAGGTTTTGATGTATTGGCTTATGTCAAGTTGTCATGACAAAGACACTGACAGGTTATGATGTATTGGTTTATGTCAAGGTGTCATTAACAAGACATCTCAAACAATGTCATATTTGCATTAAAAATGTCATAATTGAGCGAATGACACTTAATGACAGTTGTCATAAACATGCATGAAACCTCCTTCATATTCATGACATTGACATGACACCTTCATAATCATGACATGACACGTTTTATGCACACCCCTTCAAGTAAAGTGTTACCGGATTTCTTTTTGTTGGCGAGTTAGGATAGTTCTGTAACACCCCTATCAGTAGTTAAGATAAGATAAGATAATGCACTTAAAGGGATACTCCACTTTTTTTGGAAATAGGCTCATTTTACAACTCCTCCAGAGTTAAACTGTTCAGTTTTACCGTTTTTGAATCCATTCAGCCGATCTCCGGTTCTGGCGGTACCACTTTTAGCATAGCTTAGCATACATCATTGAAGTGGACAAGACCATTAGCATTTCTAAAAAAAAAAATGACCAAAGAGTTTCGATATTTTTCCTATTTAAAACTTGACTCTTCTGTAGTTACATCGTGCACTAAGACCGACGGAAAATGTAAAGTTGCGATTTTCTAGGCTGATATGGCTAGAAACTATACTCTCATTCCTGCGTAATAATCAAGAAACTTCACTGCCGTACCATGAGTGCAGCAGGCGTAATGATATGACGCAGCGCCTGAAAATAGGCCACCTTCCGTCAACACAACGGAACTATTTTCAGGCACTGCGTCATATCATTACGCCTGCTGCTCTCATGGTACGGCAGTGAAGTTTCTTGATTATTACGCAGGAATGAGAGTGTAGTTCCTAGCCATATCAGCCTAGAAAATCGCAACTTTACATTTTCCGTCGGTCTTAGTGCACGATGTAACTACAGAAGAGTCAAGTTTTAAATAGGAAAAATATCGAAACTCTTTGGTCATTTTTTTTTAGAAATGCTAATGGTCTTGTCCACTTCAATGATGTATGCTAAGCTATGCTAAAAGTGGTACCGCCAGAACCGGAGATCAGCTGAATGGATTCAAAAACGGTAAAACTCAACAGTGTAACTCTGGGGGAGTTGTAAAATGAGCCTATTTCCAAAAAAAGTGGAGTATCCCTTTAAGAAATGTCATTCTGTAAAAGCTTTTGCCATAAATGAGGTTCGAACTGTTAGGATCTTTCTATAATATGCCCCTAGGACTCTAAATGCAATTGATGGCAATATCTAGCCTGCAAAATATCTTAGAATTTCCCCAGTACCTGTAAGAAAAAGAGACGCTGTGTGATCTCTTGGATTAGCTCCTCAGAAACATCTTCTGGAAAAAACTTTGCCCGGAACTTGAACTGCAGAGGGTTTTCCTTTCTAACATCCTGCTGTGTTACCTGCCAACAGTTTTCACAGAAATACATTAACCCTTTAATTTTCAACCCTAAAAGGAACCATTTAAAAATTTATTTTTCTTAAAATTCTTATTATTGAACATTAAAAAAAAAAATGTACACCAAGTTTTTTTTTTTGTCAAAATTGATTTTTATATAAAAGATATAACACTACCATACGGTTGAGGTCTCTGTTTATGGTAAATCTAGTTCTCTTACGAGAGGTTCTCTCGTATTGCGTAAGCTAGCTTACGCTACGGGTAAAGTCATCTTTGCTCGAGATATTGAAGCCAAAAATTATCCTTAATTTTGTATTTATTGTCAACGCAGTGCAGCAGCTAGCAGACCTTGAGCGGGCATATTGCGTGCTCATTGGTTGCCCTGCGGCAACTGCTGCAACCTACCACTGAGCCTCGCGCGTGACGTCACATCCAATGAGGGCGCTTTGCGCCCTTAAGCGTCATAGCCCGCCGAAATGGGGGTGGCTTAGCGTATAAAAGGCAGGCTCGTAGGTTGTCTCACTGATTTCATCATCTTCAGCGAGCTCTTCAGTGAGTTCAGCTGGACTCTGAGGGAAGTCTTCGCCGTTGAAACCAGCGACTAGCAAGCAGAGGAAAGTGCCTGAAGAAGCCGGCCGTCTTCGCCACCTTCAGCCATCTGTGCCTGCTACGCCATCCGGCGTGTATCCTTTTATTGCTGTGTGTGTTCGCTGCTGCAACACTCACTCTCTCTCTCTCACTAAAAGAGCGCAAGCGTTTGTTTCAAAATGCCTCGCCTTTCCTGCGGCTCGTGTAGAGCCCAGCTCAGCGCAGGTGACCGCCATGTGATTTGCGCTCCCTGCCCGGAACACGCAGCCCTCGCCCTGGACTCGGGCGGCTGCGTGCATTGTGAAGCGCTTCCGCTGTCGACCCTGCGGGCTCGACTCGAAGCCTTCACACAGAACGCTGTCACTCCACCCTCTGGACCACGCAGGAAGAAGCGCCGTGCTCAGAGGATGCCGGAGTCCGTGGCCGCAGTGAAGTGCTCGCCGGAACGTCTCCCGCCAGCCTCACTCTCTCCTTCTCCGCCCCTCCCGGACGCGCAGCCGCCGGCCTCGACCCGCGCTGCCGCCGCCTCAGGGGACGAAGCTGAAGGGGGCCACTCACTGGACAGCTGTTCCATCCTGGCGTCGGATAGCGAGGAGTGGTCGAGCCTCCCCTTGTCACTCCGCCTCCCCTTCCGTCCAGGAATCCAGCAGGACTCGGGCAGGCGTGGACGCCGAGTTAATGCGCCTCCTCTCCAAGGCCGTCGACCAACTCAGGCTCGATTGGTCACCGCCGAAGGAGCCCGCACCCAACAGGCTCGACGGCGGTTTCCTGCACAGCCGCCGCCCCCAGCCCGTTTCCAGATCTGCACCTTTTCTGCCGGAACTGCACGCTGAGCTGTCAAAATCGTGGAACGCACCATTCTCCGCGAGGCTCCACTCTCATGTCTCCTCGCCGCTCTCCCGAGTGGACGGCGCCGCCGAGAAGGGATATACCTCTATCCCCACAGTGGAAGCGGCGGTCGCAGCGCACCTTTGCCCGCCCTCCGCGAGATGGCGCTCAAAGTCTGCCCTCCCGTCCAAAGCCTGCAGAACAACCTCAGCCCTTGTTGGCCGCGCCTTCGCCGCCGCCGGACAAGCCGCTTCCGCCTTGCATTCTATGGCCGTGCTGCAAATCCTTCAGGTTGATCTCCTCCGCCAGTGGGACGAGAAAAGCAAGGATCCGGCCGCCATTACGGATTTGAGGAGCGCGACGGATCTCTCTCTTCGCGCCACAAAATCTGCAGCACAGGCGATGGGCAGATGGATGGCCTCGCTCACCGTCACAGAGCGGCATCTCTGGCTGACGCTGGCGGATATGGGGGAAGCTGAACGATCCGTGTTTCTCGACGCGCCGCTCTCCCCTACCGGTCTCTTCGGCCCAGCGGTGAACGGGATCGTCGACCGCTTCTCTGAAGTGCAAAAGACCACGCAGGCCATGAACCTTTTCCTGCCGCGACGCGCTAGCTCTTCCGCAAGCCGCCCACGTGCTTGCCCACGTGAGCCGCCTGCCCATCATGCTAGCCAGCGCCCAGCCCAGCCCAGCGTCAACAGGGCGGCCGCCCTAGATCTCGCTCCTCCGGTCGCAGGCCGCCTCCCCCCCGGGGACCACGGCCCAGGGTTGTGCTGAAGCCCGAGCAGGGAAAGCCTTCCTAGCAGCGCTAGTGAAGAAAAGACGCGCTGGTCTCGCCGCGGCCGGACCACCGTCGAAGCTTCTTGTCCTGTCAGTTCCCTCAGTGAACACGACTGCAGACATAAATTTAGCAGCCAACGAGTCGGCAACACGGCCCGCTCGCCTGCACACAAACGCTGTTTTTACGGCGACCCAGAGAAATCTCAAAAAGAGTATAAAGTCTGGTTATCCGGCGCACGCCGAGTGTGTTTTATGTGTAGACAAAGTGCCCACAAGTCAGTGCTCACCCCTACATGCAAACACTATGCCCCATGTATCTCACATGATCACAGAGCCCACTCTTATAAAGCTGGCAAATGCCGCTCGAGTGATAAATGTAGACAATGTGCCCACAAATCTGTGCTCACATCTACTCGCTGCACGCTCTGTTACACGGCAACAGCCTCACAGCGGCCAGGTTATGAACATATCGCCACAAAATGTTCCCCATTCCCAGTAATCGGGTCATATCAAGTGGTTCAGGCAGTTACAGCTGTCGGCGAGCCGCCGTTACTGAGATCAGAGAGCGCGCGCACCCCGCCCGCTCCTCCGGTACAGTTTCCCGAGCCCGCGCTGCACGGCCAACGGGACCCGGAGCCCATTCTGCCCCTAGCTATACATGTAGAAGCATGGAAGGCTATTCCTGGTGTGACAGATTGGGTAATAAGCACGATAAGTCAGGGCTATTCGCTTCAGTTCGCTCACCGTCCCCCTCGCTTTCGAGCCCGGACCGAGACGAAAGTGAAAGCGGATGTAGCACACCTACTCCGCTCAGAAATAGCCAAACTGCTGTGCAAAGGGGCCATAGAACCAGTACCTCCTTCTCTGAGCGAGTCAGGCTTCTTCAGTCATTACTTCCTCGTACCAAAGAAGGACGGAGCTCTAAGACCTATCTTAGATCTGAGACATTTGAACAAAGCTCTCATGAGACGGCCGTTCAAAATGATTACGACCAGACAAATCCTCGCGCACATTCGCCCGGGAGACTGGTTCGTTTCTCTCGATCTGAAAGATGCATACTTTCAGATTCCGATTGCCCCGCGTCACAGGCCATTCTTGAGATTCGCCTTCGACGGTCGGGCATATCAATACACCGTCCTCCCGTTCGGCCTATCCTTAGCGCCCCGTACATTTACGAAATGCATGGATACGGCTCTCGCCCCCCTGAGAGTGAAAGGGCTGCGAATTTTGAACTATCTGGATGATTGGCTGATTCTAGCACAGTCGGAGATGGAACTGATATCTCACAGAACTGTGCTTCTCAGCCATCTGGAGAGCCTGGGTCTCACGGTCAACTGGACCAAGAGCTCATTACTACCCAGTCAGTCAATTCCCTTTCTAGGAATAGAACTGGACTCGGTGGCTATGACGGCCCGCTTATCGACACAGCGTTCGCGCCGTGTTCGACAGCTAGCCGCGTCTTTCCAGAAAGGCAGCATTATACCTCTGAAGACATTCCAGAGGATGCTGGGTAGGGGTGCAACGGATCAAAAAACTCATGGTTCGGATTGTTTCTCGGATCAGAGTCACGGATCGGATCAGCAAAAAAGACAAGACAAATAAACATAGGTTTTGTCTTTTTGTTTATTAACACTTTTAAATTATTAAATTAAAATATATAAAATCAACTTAAAGTGCACAAGGCATAATATCTTATTTTTAGAGATATTAGGGGGGTTGACTGGTTGACTTACCGAAACAGGCCAATCAGGATGCTCTCTGTCTGACATGCGCACACACGCAAGGTCTCTCGCTCTCCCTCTCTGCCATGTGCGCTACATGGTTTGGAGCACAGTGTTCTGTCTCGCATGCGCGCTCTAGATTCCGGGATATTTGAACTAATTTGCGGACATCAGGGAGCCGCTATCAATATGCAGAAGTTAATTTTTTTAGGCCAATTCAGCGCAACTCCGGACTGTCCGGCCAAAATCCGGACGTGTGGCCACCCTACTACACACACAGTCACGGTTTTATTCACTAACCTCTTTCCTTCATCATTATATTTGACCGGGAAGCCAAAATGATCCCACACAGGGGATTTAAATGACTCGGGGCGTTCAAGCTCCTCTATTCCTCCGCTCGCCATGACCGCGCTGTGGAGATGTGTGTGTGGACTGAACATGCGTACAATTTTTTTTTTTTCATAAATCAATCCGCGGATCACGCGTGTGCCGAACCGAAGATATTGATCCGAATGGATCACGGATCAATGATGATCCGTTGCACCACTAATGCTGGGCTGTATGGCATCGGCTGCGGCTGTGCTTCAGCTGGGCCTGCTGCGCATGCGCCCGCTACAACGCTGGCTGAACTCCCAAGTGCCTCATCGGGCTTGGGTTTCAGGCCACAGGCGAATCAGAGTGACTCAGAGCTGCGTTTCGGCTCTGCAGCCCTGGTTAGCGGCCGACTGGTCTCGACGGACGGTAGCGTCTCGACGGACGCCTCCAATCTGGGTTGGGGCGCCGTCTTCGAGGGCAGACCGGCCTTTGGCCTGTGGTCAGACCAGGAGAAACGCTTCCACATAAACTGTCTGGAAATGAAAGCGGTCGAGAACGCGCTCAAACGCTTCCTCCCCCTTATACAGGATCACCATGTACTGGTCCGATCGGACAACATGTCAGTGGTATCCTACATAAACCGTCAGGGCGGCGTCAGATCCAGAAACCTCTGCCATCTGACGGAACGCCTGCTTATGTGGTCTCAGGGCCGCCTGCGCTCGCTGAGACCCGCGCACGTACCAGGCCACCTGAACGACGGTCCAGACACGCA